AGCCACTTTGCCTTATGTCTTACATGTCTTAAGCTATTAGTCGTAGCAAAAAACAAGACGTAAGCATCAAACAAGATTTTAGCGCAATTTTGGAACATTATAAATAAACTTAAATATAATTGTAGTTAGAAGTATCAGAGCAGTATCTTGAGGCGAAGTCTCAAGAAATATTAGTAACGGCTACAGTTTCGTTTGTTTTGCGCATTTCTAAGCATGTGGCTTTTTTACTGAAAATAAAAAATTATAACTTTGTATTTGCATGCGAAACAAATTGAGTTTGACACCAGTATATCATAAAACTTATGGCAACTCATTGAACAAAAATGTGTCCAAATCGGAAATTTCAATTTAAATTTAAAACGCGTTCTAGTTAAGCAGTTAACTCAAAAGTTAGTCGGTTACAATTGGAGAGTTCCCGCTTGTTTCTTAGACATTCTGTATATTGTATATATTTTAGAAATTTTCTGAAACTGAGTTTCCAGGTAATTGCTGTAAATACCTGCATATCTGATTGAATACTTTTTGTGTTAAGCTATACATTAAAGTATTTCGAGAAATGCCAATAAATGGCAGAAGAAAACCATATGACGCGATTTTTCTTCGGTTAAATATTAAATTGGCTAATTTGTGATTTGATTAGTAACCAAAAGTAAAAGCTCAACGTTAACACGAAGCCATTTTAAAAAAAAGATATGGTATTGGGGAAATACCTGCTCCACTATTAAGTGCTTGCGAAGGTGATATCATCTAAAATTCCGGTCTGAAACCGCGTCCAAGTTCGACTTGAAACTACCGATAATTCGCATTCGCATTTTATCCGTGTATAGTAAAAGTTAGACGCCCGCTGACACTCTCGATTTCATCCAGATTATCGGGGAAAATGTCGACTTTAACGCGCACTAATAGTCACAGCAAAAGGCCCCAATATAAAGACTATGTGTCTTTTTTGGGCAGTTACCGGAACGAGAAAAAAGACGATTCAAATGGCATTGTACCGTCCGACAGTGGAGTGAATTTCAGTCTCAACAGTTCCGCAAATAATTCTTCTAATAGTGTTTTTTCTGATGTGAGTGATCATTCAAGTAAGACCAGTGTTGTATCAGCCAAGCCCAAGCAAGTGGTAAAGTCCGAAATGTTTATTCAAATCAAAAGCCCTCCAATACAGCAGGCTTATCCCACGCAAGTGTTCAAAGTGGAAGTTGTGGATAAAGAGCAGCAACCAGAAAAAAAGATATCCGTAGGACAGACCGCAAAAATATTCGAGAAAAATGACCAGGTTGATTCAGTTGGTGACAAAGTAGCTGCAAACGGTTTGAAAGCCAAACAGAGCAGCTTCAGGCAGAATTCTATTGGCCAATTGTCCAAGAAATTTGAGAACTCAGATGGTCAAAATGAAACGGTTGGTAAGCGATACGTTAAACGGGCCACCAGTATTGGAGAAGTGTCGAAAATTTTCGAAAACGGCAACTCGGGTGAAGAAAGAAAGCGCACCTTGCACAGGCCGAAAAATTTCAACGCTGTTCCCAAGCCCTTCCAGGCCGACCCAGCTCCATCAAAGACAACTGCTGAAGCAAAAATTTCAATCAAACCAGCCATTTCACCTAAACCAATCTTGGCACCGCCAGCATTTCCCAAATTTGTTCCAGAACCACCACGATCTTATACAGACAGTGTGGATTCTGCACTTTCTTCGCTCTCAATCTCTCCATCACCGTCTCAATGCGCTAGTCCTCCTCCTGGAGGTTTGCTATCGCCACCACCTCCGCCTCCACCTCTGCCACCATCTAGTTTCTCCTTCAAACCGGTTTCGGTCCAAAAAGTAGTTTCCAACAACTCCACTACATTGATCAAACCAGTCACTGTTCCTCAAACTAATGGCCACGCTAACACCAATGGGACCTTGGATAAAAACGACCCAAGAGTGAAAAAGGCTGTTTATGGTGCTCTAAGGAATATGTATGGCGCTTACCATGACCAGGCTAATGATTATCTGGCTACTTTACCCAAGAACAGGGTGAGGAAGAACAATGGACTGGACAGCATCATTGCCAGCATTGCGTAAGTATATAAAAATGTTCCAAATATATTAACGGATACTCCCTAGATGAATTTAATGAAATAGAGTCAAAAAATGTGAAAATCACAGACAAACATTGTCATTCAAAATATTAATTCTTTATTCGGAATGTTTCAGATTTAGAAATGCGTACAGTTAGGTCGGGTCGGGTATAATGAATGAAATTCTGATAAGTTGAATGACTCATGTTTCTTGGTTGTTTATCAAAGGTTTTACGGCTGCCACCCAAATATAAATGCATCTCTTGACTCACTCGTCTTGGGTTAGGGACGGAGTTGTTCATACAGTGGACACAATGGAAACAGAACTGACAATGAAAATCGTATTGTAATGTTTGAAAAATGCATTGATTTTATGAGTGAACAGTAGAAGCTGTACTGCTTTCTAAGTGGTTTGTTATTTGATATATCATTATTTTATTTATTATTTCATTAGTCACTTAAAACTTATCATGTTTATAATAACTCTAAAAATAAAAATACAGTTTGGCGTAAATATTGGATCTTTCCAGTTACTGATAACTTTAGACAATATTTAAGTTCTGCAAAAAATTGGAGAGTGCAATTAAAGAAACTATAATTGAGAAAAAAACATGCTATAGACGAGCCTCAAAACAGTTTACAACAGCTCGAAAAATCCTAAAAATTATTAAATTGCTTTATAAATTCAAGTAAATAAAACTGATAGTATTCATGTTCTAAAACTGTAGCAAAAATGTAATAAATTGATTTTGCACTGTTCCAAACATTGAAATTGCTGGTCTAGAAATAAAATTGGAAGCAACATAAGAAATTTGTCGTGTTAGCATTGAGAAACGTTATTTTTTCGTGTCTTAATTGTGAACCTTCACTGGTATTTAAATATCTGATGTTGCTTGTTAGTGCAATGTCGCCATTTAAAAATAATTCGCTTGACGAGCCAACGCATTTCATTTGATAATGTAATTAGCGTACACGACTGCAAAAAGTTAAGGAAGTAAAAATGCATATAAATTTAACCGATCCTGTTTTCTTATTTTCTTGTCCATTTTTTTGTGTGCGGGTGTCGGAGCATCATCATGAACTCACTTTATTTTGCAGAGTCACAAATATTGACTGACGACGTTAACAAGTTTAGGTTTGTTTATGTTCCTCAAGTATTTTCTAATCTTACAATAACAACAATGGTAATCGCTAAAACATTAGTAACGTAAGTTCTTAATGTATAAAATTGAACCATTCGTAAAGCAGCTAAAATAAGCCATGACGAATATGATAATTGTAAAGTTCTCTTTATTTAAACTGCTTTAAAGGTTCAGCTGAAAGTTCAGTTTACTAAAACTTTGAAGTATTTTCCAATTTGCGTAGTTACTCCAAGCCGACCCCAATTTCGCTTAATAAAAATTAACCTATTTATTGAGGGCTCCGATAAAAGGCACTTCCTATATCGAAAATTGAGGCCATTGGATCTCAATCCATATCGATTAAGATTGGGACCAAAATTAATGTTTTTCTTCACCTTGGAAATAATATTAGCTACTGAATGGTGTCTTTTTCGGTCGTTCAGTCATCAATATTTTTTACGAAGACAAGGTCAGTTTCTTTCAAAACTACATTCTTTGAAGCTGAAAGCACGGGCGTGAAAAATATTACTTCTTTATAGCATCTCTAACACCCATTAGAAAGTACCTATAAATGACATTATAATGGTCCACATAGGATAATATAAATTATTTGAAATCATCTATTGAATCTTAAAGGTCACCAGATAGTGTAACGAGATATCTATTTAAAACCACTCTCTTGGATTACTTTTTCTCCTTGGCCAAGTCTAGAATGCTTAACAGATCGAGTCAGTAGACAAGTCTATTCACCAGCAAGTAAAAAGAAAAGTGAATTTTATTTTCTAATCTTCTAGTCGATTGTTGCTTTTCAAGTGTTAATAAATAGGTTTCTTTTTTAGTGGAAATTGATTATTACATTTGAAATTATCTTGAACAGTTATTATTAGAATGGGTAGGTACCCTACAGGGTGAAAGCTGCTGCGCAAAGCACCAAGCCTTGAAAATGTTAGCCTATTGTATGAAATGTTGTCCAGATTAATTCAGATTAGATTAGGACATATTAGAATCATATAAAGAGTTCATAGCTGGGTCAAATTTAATCAGGCAGTTACTCATGAAGCGAATTTATCTGCTTCAACTTTCGTATCATTTACATTTATGAATCAGATCTCTGGTCAATAAAACGTCTAGGTTTTTCTTCTTATCTCACTTTTTCAAGCAATAATTACACTGTACTCTTTTTGTTTATGTTGGGAACATAATGTGCGAATACATTTTAAGTTATCAAATAGCTTTCCTTTGCCTAATGGTTGACATCACATCTAACGCAGTTAAAACGTACGAAGTCCATTTAAGTAAAAAAAACATCGTTAAAACCAAACTTGATTTAGATCTTAATGCGGCTAGAATATCTGAAAACAGGCCGAGCAACCATCATTTTTTTAGTTATTATGCCAATTCTTCCAAGTTACTACTTAGTAACTTGGAACAAATACTTATTTAATTTGATTTAGGTAATCAAAACCAGTTTTTATCGGTTGAACTTGTGGATGTACTCATATGAACGTGCTATTTATTAGAAGTAGAAATAACATAGTTCTTCTGTACTAATCTTGCACGTATTTTGTAGATCTCAAGGTGGATTGGAGAAACTTAGTGGTAGAGCTAATCCCAAACAAGACATCGAGTAAAATTGAGTAGCTAAAGCTGTGCCTTAACAATTTTCGCCCTTCTATTGGCAGATGAGAGATTTAAAATGGGAAACGATTTTGGCCACATAGTTTGATTACCGAACTTAGTGAAACCAGTGATTTACCTATTTTTATAGATTGCAATTTTGAAGCTTCCGATCTTATGTATGTTTTCCGTGAAAATATAGATCTTATTTTAATATTCAGATATTTCATTTATTTATAGTAGTTTCATTTATTTTTCATTCGTATTATATTTCCTCAATTTCTATTAGTTGCGTTCTGTTTGAATTGCATTCAGTTGCACTTATTAATAGTAAATCACCTCTTATCTTTAGTTGTTTTGACGTCCTAAAGCTAATCAATTATGGCTATCATGAACAATTAGATTTTTTTTAATTAATCCGGGATACGATCAAAATAAAACAACTTGTAATAAAATGGGAATATATATATATATATAATATGCTTGTTATCTCAAGGACCTTTGATGACTTTTAAATATTACTGCTGGTCGGTACTTTAGCACAGCTTATATATCATGATATGTAAGTCGCGACTTTGTGAGCTTACATACAAGATGTGTAAACGTTTTTGCTATGTATCAATGGAAAACAATATAAATTAAACATAATATAGTTTAAAGATTAGAATTCTTGCATTATGTAGCAGTGTTTTCGTCTATTAAATCACCTCTCATTGTCCTTAAAATTAGATTTATTCCTGCTTTTATACTCTAATTATTTGGTAGGGTTATTGTATTGGAGCCCTTCGTAGGTGCTAAGTAGCTATGTAAAACCTAAGACTGTAATATTTTGTGCTATATTCCTTTTTGTTATAGTTTTGTTTTTAATAAAGTATACATATTAGCTGCGATTTGTTTGATTTTATTGCTAAGTCAACAAAATAGTGAAGGACCATGTTTGACAAAATCCATTATTTTTGGGTGATTATTGGCACGACAAGTCTAAAGATGCTCGCCATGCAAGCTTGAGAAACTTGAGGATCAAATTTCTTTAATTAACAATTTTCAATTAACTCCAGCAACAACTTTCAAAATTGCGGAATTAATACTTTAAAAGAAAACTTATAATACAAATAATTACGGTCATATTTAATACAAAAATAATTGAATTTACACCAGCCAGATCAATGAATAAAGAGCTAAATCCCTTTTAATTACTCTGGCAATAAAATTCATTTCTGGGTTGATCAGTCGCATTTTTCACGGACGATAACACGAAACGAATTTCTAAAGAAACTGGGAGTGTTTCTTTGCAAGCCCGCATGAACGGGGCACTATTTAATTGGAAATATGCAAACCCTAAGCGATCACGCCATTTTATAAGGAATAATCGGATAATTTATAACTTAGATTCCTAAAAATAACTCTTCAGGGCATTTGATGGAATTTTTAACAAAAGCTTCTTAACACCCACTTTAGTTGCGGAGATTCAGAACTGAATTAATATCTATGCACGCGTATTTAAATTGTGTAACATCGAAAGAACTGAAAACGTAACAAATGTCCTCTTGAATGAAATCAAATATGTTCATCTGTTTCGTTAATTAACGATATTAATTTTATTCGGAATATCAATGATAAATTTCCATAAATGTTGATTGCATCTGGTCTACGATCACAAGAGAAATGGTTTGTAATTTGCTTGCTGTACAATAAAGAATATTGAATATAAGATCAGAACTTTAAAAAAATGTTAGTGGCTGATAATTAATTATTTAAATTACGTAAAACTATCACTTGGTTTTACGGTGTATTTATTAGGAAGTTCAGGATTTTTACGTAGATACGAAAGATATTTCTATACTACTTCAGCCTGTTTTCAAATAAAGCAGCAGTTACATTAAGCAACAAAAGTTTAATTAATTTCTTAGTTGCGCTGTTAATTAAAATGAAGTTCATTGACGAATGATTAAATGTGTAATTGTTAAATGCATATTTCATTAAGACATTTTATTTAAATAGCTGGTTGGTTTCAATCCATAAGCAGACTCCATATTACCAGAGCCTTAAAATACACGTCGTGGTATTGAATCACGCCTCAACACGAACAATGTAGTGACATTGGAAATAAGCATAAAATACTCTAATTTCCCAAAAAAAACGTGATAAACAGACACCAACTCAAGGCAGGAAATTTAATCAACATTGTGGTTAGTGAATAAACCAGAAACTACTCTTTATGAATATAAATTTTCAGTAACATTACCATTACGTCATTTACAT